TTATTTATTTATTTTTTTCCTTATCAAATTTTTCTTTTTTTTTTTTTTTTCTGGCACGTCTGTTTTTTCTTTTCCATTTGATATTGGCAGCTTTGTATTTGAGAACACTTGCGGGGGAAATTTGAGTGTTCTTTTCTTACTTATCATTATCATTCATGTTTATATTCATTATAAATCTCCCTTCAAGCGAGGAATGGGGGAATAGAATCTGCCACTTTGTATATCCTACCAGGTATATTACTATTGTGGATCTATATATATATATATATATATATATACGGATAGAAGGCTTAATTAATTGTCTCTTTCATTTATTTATTGAAATGTGTTGTACGTAAAGCTTTTGATGGAATGACAAGGGTGTACTTGTACAACAAATAGATAAAATGTTTTTTTTTTTTTTAAAAGTGTGTTATCATGTCCAATACAGGGTGAGGAACAGATCAAGAAACGTATGTTTTTTTTTCTTTTTCTTTTTGGTAACACTTTGGTAGAAAGAATAGAAGGCAAATATTGTCCTGTTAAGACTGCTTTGCAGTTTATTTATCTCTCTCTTTCTCTTTGTTTTGCTTCTTGGTCTTTCTCGGTGTTTACTGTTTTTTTTTTCGCATACGTAACTTTCTACGTAATATCTGTACCTCCTTCTTCCTTTCTGTTTTATTTATACTAAATATTGTATATGCTCAATCATTTCCATACTGTGTGTTGTTCCATGTAATAACTAATGTGGTGTAGTTTTTTTGTATTGTTTTTATTGTTTTTCAATTATGATTTCATTTTCTTTCTTTTTTGTTTTCTTCTCTTTTGGCGATTGTTTTTCTTCTATTTATTAATATCATTGAGAATATAGAACCTAGAAGTAACAATAACCACCTTCTTTCTATCTGTGTGTATATATAAGCTCATCTGTGAGAGGAAGGAGAACCAACCATAATAATAATAACAACAACAACAAGAAAAAGAAAAAAAGAAGAACAACAATGGCTTACACAAACTCACAAGTGATGAAAAAGGAGTTTGCACTCCCCATGGTTCCTGGAATGACTTGTGGAGAGGAGATGTTACGTCGTAACTATCACCGTACACAAATACACGGTCCCAAATATGATACGATGACATCTATTAAAAGTGTTCCCATTGACATGACAACAGCGAACAGACAAACCCTCTCCTCTATGGAAACATACAAAACAGAGAATAATGTAGATGATAAAGATGTAACTTATGCAAATACCTACAGTGAACAAACAGGCGGAACAGCAGATCTCAGTGGAAGAGTACTGCGCTTCTATGGATACACAAAGGAACAGGTACCAGAGAGCTCTGTAGAGCGGGAGCGATTACGTAAATTTGTATTTAATATCTTTCTGGAAGATAATACCATGAGTGTAACGGAACAGAATCCGGATAACTCTGGTTTCGCCTTTCCCGCATCTCTTAAACGACATATTGTCCCCATGGCCGATGGTACACCTATTACATTTGCCAATTTCCGTGTTGGCGAAACCGTTACTTTCTATGGACGTACATACATGGTGTATGATGCGGATGTGTTCACCAGAGAATTCTTTAAGGAGGCCGGTGTGGAACTCGCCCCCGCCCAACCCGTGCCGGTGGACACATACACACAACTGCGTAGTCGCCCAGTGGCCAAAGCACATGATGTGCGCTCCATCGCAGCCGACAGTCCTCTTAACATCACTCTCTTACCAGAACAAGTAAGAGCCACTCAACAATTTCTCGCACATGATGGGGAAGTTCTTCGGTGTGATTGTGTCTGGGATGACACGGAGGCGCTTCATGGTGTTAAGCATTACCTCACTTTATATTACTTTCTCGCTGATGGAAGTATTGCGGTAGTGGAAAAAGATTTCCCAAACAGTGGTCGGGATCCATTTCCACGATTTTTCCGTCGTCAACGTATTGCGAAACCAAAGGATGGTGGAAAATTTGACCCACAAACATTGGGATCTCTTACCTTTAAGGAAGACGCTAACACCGTCTACTACACAGATGAAGATATTCGTATTGGTAATGTTCTTAATCTCTATGGTCGTGAGGTTCTCATTCATGACTATGATGAATACACACGTAATTACTTACAAAAGAACTTTGGTATTACAAAGTATGAACCCATTCCTGGAGGGACACGACCACCAACAATTCCTATTGGTTGTCAACGACGTGAAAAGACTGCTCAAGAATTGGAAGAAGTACAAACACGTAAACGTACAGAGAATCGTTTACGGGAATTTGCAGGAGGTGTGGTAAAATTTCTTATGCGTCTTGAGAATGGAAAACATACGGATGAAATTCGACGTTTCGTACTTGCGGTGTATCCAGCAGATAACAGTATTGCCATTTTTGAACCTGTACAACGAAACAGTGGAATTGTTGGAGGGAAATTTCTGCAACGACAACCATGTAAACGTCCGGATGGGGAATATTTTACAGCGGATGATTTTTATGTTGGAGCACACGTTATTATAAACTCATTTCCATTTGTTATTCTCACCTCGGATGAACGTTCACTAAACTATATGGAAACCCACAGTAAAGAGTTTAGTCGCTCTGATATTAATGCTATTGTACGAAAACTTCGTGCAATGCTCAGCAGTAAAAAAACAGGTTTGGCTGAAGCTTTCCGTGAGGCAGATGCATCCAACTCGGGTGGACTCAAAATGGACGTTTTTCTCAGTATTGTAAAGAAACTTAACTTGGATATATCTGAACAGGAAATCTTAAGTATGCTTCGTTATTTTGATAAAAATAATGAATCTTATGTTTCTTATGAAGAGTTTGTGGGTCGAGTCATGCCAGAAGGTGCTGCTGTTGCTGTGGATGACCGTTCATGGAATGAAATTGATGCGGAGAATGCGGAGAAGGAGTTGGCTGCTTTTGTGATTGATCCAAAGCGGGATGAAGAGAAACGCACTCGTGCAGAAGAGACAGCCCTCGCCGCACGTGCTGCAGCAGAGTTCTTAGAGTTATATGATCAACGAAGACAACTTTTTATAAAAGAGTTTCGTGCGATTACGGATTACTCCGATGTGAGTGTTGTTGGTCCTAATGAGTTTAAGATGTGTGTACGTAAGAAGTTGCAGATTCATAGCATTACAGATGCTGAGTTGAATGCATTGTGTGCAAAACTGTTTACAAAAGATGTTCCACAACTCAGTTTGGAGGAACTTACACGCATCTTTAACGGTACGTCTACTTTACCAAGAAACATGTATGAAATCAAGAAGGGTATATCCAAGTAAAGTAATAGAAGAAAGAGAACAAGAAAAAAAGAAAAAGAAAAAAAAAA